CGTAAGTAAAGTTCCTGCAGTTCCTTCCCGTACATGACGAACCGGTCCGTATCACCCAATGTGGGCTACTTCGCCACTCGGATTGAAGTGAGGGTGAGTTCGCCTTGGGTGTAACTTGAGCCTCACTCCTAACGAGTTTTTCCCTGGGCTGGAATGAAAAAAGGTACATAAGTGCGAAATTGATTCCCTTTCAAGCTAAGATTAACACCAGCGATTGTTGTGGGTTAAACCTGTCACTGTTATTCTAAGCTATACTATTAGCTATTCTTCATACTGTTTTCGATTGATCCGTATCGGTTGCTGGATCAGAACTTCGGAAGACCGCTCGGCATCCATGGACTACTAGGAGTCAATAATTGGCTATTCCACATCGTTCCATCTCACGATCAGAATGGAGTTTAGCAAAAGTGGACCACTTGCCGGAATTGCACCACGACCACTCCAAGGGGAACAGCGATCCCTTGCGCTGCGCCTTTCAGTGACAGTCTGCAGCAATGATATGTCGGATGTGTCCCACCACAAGCAAAGGCAATGTGTCATGAATGGACGACAGGCTGCGTGTGGGACAGCCACCTACGTGGGCCACGTTCATGATCCGAAGGCCCCGGAGGTTCTCCTTACTGAAAATTTTGGCCACTGGTCCGCCGATTTGCAGCTTGTCGCCCGACGGACCTCGCGGCATTTGGATGCGACCCTTTGGATCGCGGCACGGCGGTCCCAATGAGGAACCTTTGGTTCCTTCATTGGAGACCGCCGATACCCGCGATCCAAAGGGTCGCATCCAAATGCATTTTTGGTTGGTCCGTATCGGTTGCGGGATTAATTTTGTAAAGACTGTGAAGACTCTGTGCGTTATATACCTACAGTTACCCTCATCATCCAGGCAGCTACATAAGTATTACTGGCTGATCTCACATTCCGCATAAACGAGTGAGGCAAAAACCTAATCATGGCGCGATTGTTAACTGACGTCGCTGTGAGAAACGATCCTTGCGTTGTTGGCTTCCTTTGCATCCCTCGTTTACTTTATAGGATGAGACGAATGTAAAGGACTGCAACGGATGTTGCGTTTTTGATGAATGAGGCGAATGTGTAGGAACCCACCTCTCCACATCCTGAGGAACGATAATAGTCTTGATGATTACTGAGGTTAGTGCTGGTCGTATAGAAAACTCTATATAGGGTAAGCCGATTTATCTTGCCCCAATGGCGTCGGAAGTTCAAAAAGCTGTTTCAGCGTTGCACGCTTCCTACGTATATGATGTCTGGAGAAATAAGGATCCCGGAAAACTCAAGTGATTCAAATGCATTCGTATTCGATCGCATAAAACGCTTTATCATGAAAAATAAGAAAGAACCCGAATGTGAGCGCGATACATGGTGCTTTGAAAAGAGAGAATAATTTGTATATGTCTCTGCAATACAAGGATATTTCTACAATTGGGCAAGCTAAATAAATGAACTCATTATGACATAAAATGACAAAGTAACAACAACAAATTTGAATAGAATAGTTACGCAAAGATATATAATAGAGATTTGTTTCCTCTAATACAATAAGAACAAAGCATTTCACCGGCTTCAGTTCTGAAAAAATAGTTGGAGAGAAATGAAGAAAAAAGATGCTTCGTGGGGGTAACACCGTAATTCTAATGACTGCTATGAATGAGATCTTGAAGACAGGTGTTGGCCAGGAGATCCACGTAGCGATGACGCGGCGAAAGCAGCATTGCGAGTGACGTCACCTATGTGACATTGGGCCCAGGACCTAATCGGATAACGCGGAAATTTCATGCGCATAGTCAGCTAAGCAGGAAATTCTTGTCAGCAACCGTCTCCGCAACGTGAATCTCCCAACCGACACCCCCTGTACATCGCCCATGCTTGGGCATTTGATTCACACCAACTCGACTGCACCAAGAGCACCGCAAGATTGTTAACTAGAGACTGATTATGGAAAAATAACAAGGAATATAAAGACAAAATATGGTAAGCCATGGAACCTTTGGGGAGTTTGAAAGTGGAAGCTTCAAAAGCATCAAACTCAAGAACCTCTACCATAATGCAAACAAGTATGAATAATTCGGATATATGGAATCAAGAAACAACGTCACTTGCGTCCTCTTCTCCCTGCATTCCGGCGAACAGCGAAGAAGACGGGAAGAAGGAGGCGCGCCGTTGTCTGTCTCCGCCCTCTCTGGAGCTTCAAGAGTGTAGCTAGTGGAGCTGCCTCCGAAAATGACACAGCGGAATATTGGAGAAGGTTGCTCTGACTCGATGCTTGAACTGGATAACCTGACACTTCTTTGGCGTTTTGCAATGCAGAAAATTATCAAACGATAATCATCCCACAGACATCACAAAGCAGCTCTCTTCAGTATCCTCGGATGGCTCCTCTTTGATTTCCAGAAGATGATCTCCTGCTTTACTTCCAACAACGTCGTTGTAGTAGTCGGACTTGGCTTTTGATTCATTGTAATAATCATGACTATTCACCAGCTCTGAACATATATCGTCGGATACTTACTTACTTACAAACCCAGTAGAACGGAAAAAAAATTATAAGTAGTTCATCCGCAATCCTACCGTATATAATCCCTAAGTATGTCTGTCCTATTCGCTAGGGATTGTGGGCGCGTCAGTGAAGGGTGGGTTCAGCACACCGCCATATCCTCCACCAATTGTTGAGGTGAGCAAGCGACAAAATTGGTGGAGAACGGGATTGTGCCGCGCCAAACCTAGCCCCTGACACGCCCCAGCACCCGCAAAGACTACGCCATGCCTGTTCATCTGGTCGAGAAATTCACAGCGGCCATCCCAGTGACACTTCTGAGGGGGGAGGGGGGGCGTCAGAAGGGGAATCACAATGCTCGTGGCAGTAGCAGTGTGGTGGGGTGGGGGGGGGGTCTTGACCACAAGATAAGATTTAGCGGGTATTTTATAAGCAGCAGGTCATGTTGAAGAGAATGGTAGTTTATGGATCGTCCGAAGGGAAAAGGGACGAAGACAAGCTTTCCACGGAACCTAATCCTCGAGCGGTGAACAGGAGCAGATGGATTGTTCAGAACAACACTCTACGAACTTATTGCCCCACCGTAGGGGGTTATGCTTGATATCATCGCTCGCAGTCTGGCGGGCGCTGTCACGAGGGCGTGAATGAGCCCACCCGCCACGTTTTTACCACTGATTGCTTCTAAATGAATTTGCTTTCACCGGTAGGAAACGCGGTGGGCGGGATCATTCCACGCCTCCTGGCGCTGCCTCGCTGAAGTGCGACAATACCAACTACAGCTACAGGGTGACATTGTTGCTATGGGTTACATACCCAGAGCTCGCTTCTTTGCTAATCCTGATTAGCTGAGGCTCACTACGTTGCAGTCTCCATCATGGAAATGTTGGGCCTTTTGGGATGTGCTTTGGGCGTTGATGAATCCCTTTCTGTGATGCGTCACCCACTCAGAATCGTGGAGGCGTATTGGATGCTATGTGTTGGTTTTGCCTCCCAGAGGAGTCTGGCGCGAAGTTGGCCGGCTAGAAGTGGCTAGGATGGCGAGATCGCTTGAGCGAAATCCGACCCCAGATTCTACACACGGAATGTGAGCAGTGGTGGCACCACCTGCCCTAGTCCTCGTTTGTCCCACCTAAGCCCTTCGGATGCTGTATTCAACCTGTTTACATATCAACAAGTAAAATTCGCCAGATTAGAGGCAACTCACCAGTGGCACCACTTTCATTCACTACTACTGGAGTGTACATCGTAGCGTGTTCATTCAACAGTTTAGCGTTAGGAATCAAATAATTTCCATCGTCCATGCCAACTTCTGATGGACGAATGATTGCTGAAAAGGTTGTGTTAGGCCACGTTCATTCTTCGCAGGATCGCTTGAGCGACCGGATCGCACAACCATAACCGGGGCATCCGCCGCCGATCGGTGGACCACCGGAACGGCAGAATTGAGCTGGGCCTCGATCATGCACTAGCCCAACTGAATTCTGCCGTGGCGGCGGTCCATCGATTAGCGATCGTCGTGGTCGCGTATTCCGATTGCTCGAGCTATCCGACTGCTCCCACAGTCCAAGCGATTGGATCGCGAAGTATGAACGCGCTTCGAACCGAATGATTCAGACTTATGCAAAAGAGGAATCTCACGTTGACTTGTAGGATCTGTTTGGTAACGTTGTGAACTTGTCGACTGAAGTCTTCGTAAGCTGCGAGGTCCGAACGACTGAAACCACAACAATGGAAAAAAGTTCGGAGCAAACGACATTGTAGCAATTTTTTTTCGAAAAAAAACTAAAAAGCCCGTAGCTACAACTTTACGATCCTGCCCACCTTTACCCAAATATTTCAGTCATGGTTAGCAAGAAGTTCTGGCAGTTCAAGGAGGGTATTCTGAAGTTTTCTGAGGAACCAAAAAATGACCCAACC